CTCAGATTTTCTTCTTCCACTTCTTTGGGGTCACTGAAATCCTCTTGCTTACAGTGATGGCCTATGACCGCTATGTGGCCATCTGCAAACCTCTTTATTATACAACTATCATGAGTAGGACCGTGTGTCACCATCTGGTGGCTGGTTCCTGGGTGGGGGGCTTTTTTCATTCCATAATTCAGATTTTCATCACTATCCCCTTGCCCTTTTGTGGTCCCAATGTGATTGACCACTACTTCTGTGACCTCCATCCCTTATTCAAGCTGGCCTGCACTGACACCTTCGTGGTTGGGGTTATTATGTTTGTTAATAGTGGATTATTCTCTGTATTTTCCTTCCTTTTCTTGGTGTCCTCTTATGTTGTCATCCTGTTCAACTTGAGAAATCATTCTGCTGAGGGAAGGCGCAAGGCCCTATCTACCTGTGCCTCTCACATCATGGTGGTTGTCTTGTTCTTTGGACCTGCCATCTTCCTCTACTTGAGACCTGCTTCCACCTACACTGAAGACAAACTTGTGGCTGTGTTCTACACAGTCATCACCCCCATGCTGAACCCAATCATCTACACACTCAGGAATGCAGAGGTGAAAAATGCCGTGAAGAAGTTATGGGGCAAGAAAGCAAGCTCAAGTCTGGAATAAAATAATAAACATGAAATAAACAGCATGACTAATATGACAGGAACTTGAAAATGACTTTAATAATCAGTGAAGGCACAGATCAAAATCTACATGCTTAAGGTTTTTGTTTTATTTGACCTTCATCATATCATAGGTATCAGTATTTTGGAGTATATTCAAATTGGGCTATTTTACATCTCTTCTCCAGTGATCTGTAGTGTGTAAGATTGAGGGATAGAACTTCTATAATGTGGTGATGCAAAATATAGCTCTCACATCAAAAGGAACAGAATAGTTCGTTCTTAAGCCAATATGAATTAAGTGGCCTGAGAATATAGACTCAAGTTACACTAAACTCCATTTTTCACTGTGGTCACAGGTTCATAGAACAAAAAGTCATAAATCAAGGTACTTCTCAAATAGTTTGGTGAGAATATCAGATTGATAAGTTATGGGACAGTGTGTGTGTGTGTGTGTGTGTGTGTGTGTGTGTGTGTGTGTGTGTGAAATCTCTGCTATTGGCTTCAGATAGTGTATGCTGGCATTCTTAGTTTTTGAGTTGGTGAAGCTGGTGGTCTCTTAAGTTAATAAATACCCCAAAGATTCATGTGATAGTCACAGGACATTAGATTAGGCACAGAGGTGGACAATGGATGACTATTGATGACTCTAAAGCCAGCTCATGATAACTTGGCATGGTTCTGCAACACCCCAACATCCCATAATTATAAAATTCTAATTGGTCAGTCAGTGTTTTAGAATCTTGAACACATGTGTCGCTTTTTTCCTGGGAATCTCAATTCACAAATGGAACCCCACCCTGCCACCTATCAGCTCTGTGACTTCAACTTTATTCATTTTTCTCTCATATGTTAGCACACTGTGGTATGTGAAAGGATCTTGGCATCCTACAGCAAAATTTCATGTTTTGCCTTTGTCTCCTTGCAATTTTGGAGGGAGTCCTAGGATACCTTCACCAATTCTCCATGCATATTCCCTAGCCTGACCATATTGAATCATCAGCCTGTTTCTCACCCTCTACATCTGTGCTTTTTCCAGGTAACCTTACATAACAAGTCATACACAGCAGGAACTGAGCTACACAATGACTAAAGATATCAAGGTGATGCCAATAGTTTTTATCATTTGGAAGGGCCTGGGGCAGATATGAGGACATCAGGAATCAAGGAAGAATTTTCTTAGGCGTTACCTTAATTGACCTACAGCTGTTAAAGTAGTGTTAATAGATTATCTTACAATGAAAAGATTTCAGCTTTATGAACTCCACGGGAATGCTCCTAATACATATTTGCATTTATTATTGGAGTGGTTGATATGTAATTTATTTGAGTAAATAGCTTTTGCATATTTCAAAGCCCTTTCACATCCATTACTTCCTGGAATCTTCAAAGAAACTCTATGCTGTTTATGAAATAGTAATTAATAATTCTGAATGTATAGTATTAGATATTTAAATGTCATTTAGGTTAGGTTTTGGCTGCAAGGAACAGAATCTGAAATAGAGAAATGGCAAAGTATATTCAGAGTAGAAACATTTTTATCATGTCTGCCCATAGTAAAGCCTTCTATTTCCATGTTTACCTCATGTCCTAAGATGAGTGCTGGAGCTTCATTCACATTGGCAGCATTTAATTGATACAAAATTTATATTCAGTGAAATGTAAATACCTTAAGAATGCAATTCAATGATTACTGACAAATTTGCATACTGTTTCCCTGACATCTAAGAGAAGACATGGGTAATGCTCTTGTGTCCTTTCATGTACACCACCTCTTCATCTAACAGCAGCTGTCATTCTAATTTCTATCATCAGATGTTTGAGTCTCCTGTGTTCACAGAAATACCAGCATAGTAGTTGCCCTCTCTGTATTGGGTCTCTTAACTAATTTTAATGTTTTTGAAACTCATTTGTACTGTGGATCACAATAATTTGTTATTTTATTTATTGAGGGCTGTGCATGAATACATGACAGTAAATAAAAGTTGTTTCATTGGTAGACATTGGGTTTATTTCTAACACTTAAGACAAAGAAGGGATGGGAAATACCAGTTGTCTGTGGCAGGATACATAAACCAGGCATGATGTGCTAGTGAACTGCATGGTGAAAGACATAAATTCCAGGAGTCAGAATATCTAGATTTGTACCCAGAGATCATGCCTGGGTTATTAGATTCTGGAAATAAAATCTGAGAGACATAAAAGTGATTGTTGCCAAATTTGGTGACCTGAGTTTGATCTGTAGATCCCATATGGTAGGAGAAGAGAACCAACATCTGAAAATTGTTCTCTGACATCCACTTATACAACATGGCATACATGTACTATTTCCCCAAATAAATACATAGTTATTTCATAAAATCTTTGAGTATTTTTAAGTTCCTATTTTCTAAGAAAAATATGCTTCTTTACCATTTTCATCACTCCACTAGATACTCAGACTTCCCAAGTGTCCTCCTCCAGGGTCTGGTTTGGTGAGTACCTCTTACCACACACACCATCTTTGTTTTCCAACAACCAGCAAGATCCAGCCTGGATCCCACATCAAGTGCCCAGCCTAGTCTGACCACCCAGGCCTGTGAAGAAGCCAAGCTCTAGGCTTACACCAGGACCTGATCTACCTGTAATCACTCATATGTACCTTCTGTGCTATCCCTACCACTTCACTTAGTACCTAGATATCCCCCATCAAGGTCTAGCCTGGTGAATATTACTGCCATCTTCATACACACCTTTTCCATACACACCATATACACATTTTCCACAACTTGCCAGATTTAACCTAGGTCCCATGACTAATACACCAGCTTAGTTTGACTTCCCTTGCCTGCATGGTAAAGGAACTCTAGGCTTGGGCCAGGTTCCTAACTACATATTACCCAAATTTCAGGACTCTTTCATGTTGTATTCAACCTTTCCACCAGGACAGATCTACCTCCACACTCTAGGATGGGAACAGGAAACATGTATACCAGCTCAGTCTCTTCTGTCTCCCTGACTCCATTCAATTCAAGCCATTTTTAACTGTAGACCCAACCCACACCCACAAATTCTCCTTTTCCCCAACCTGTTTTGTCTAAAAACAAAAAACAAAACAAAACAAAAACAAAAACAAAATCCAAAAAACAAAAAAACAAGAAACAAACCTAAGAACTAACAGATGAAGTCCACATGCCAGATATTATTGCAAGAATACCAACTATGTGAAAGGTCAAGTCAATGTCTCCTCTCCAAATCTTCCCAGTCCTGTGGAAATGTTTGCCAGCGAAAATTACATAGATGAACTCTGGGACACAGAATTTAAAAGAACAATCATAGACTTCATCAAAGAATTCAATGAGTTTAAAGAAGACACAAAGAAGTAGTTCAATAAAATTAAGGAGAAAAGTCTTTATTTTTTTATTTTTTATATATTTGAATTACAAACAAAATTGAATTACATGACGGTACCAGCTCCCTTCTCCCTCCCTTCTTCCTCTACCACCCCCAAACTAAAACCCTACCTATCATATGCCCTTTCTTCTAATCTACACCTGACTCAAAATTTCTGCTTCCTCATGACCTCTGCATCCTTCCTTTTCTTCCCTTCTCACTCTCGTAGCTTCCTCCCCCCTCTTTCCATGTTCTCAATTTGCTCACGGAATGGTGACCTTTTCCCCTTCTCCAGGGGACAAAGTTTGCCTCTTTTAGGGTCTTCCTTGTTTACTAGTTTCTCTGGCAGTATGGATTGTAGGATGGTAATCCCTTACTCTATGTCTAAAATCCACATATGAGTGAGAACATACCATGTTTGTCTTTTTGTGATTGGGTTACTTTGCTCAGAATGGTTTCTTCGAGTTCCATCCATTTTCTTGCAAATTTCAAGATTCCATTGTTTTTTTTCTGCTGAGTAGTACTCCATTGTGTAAATGTACCACATTTTCTCCATCCATTCTTCCGTTGAGGGGCATCTAGGCTATTTCCAGTTTCTGACTATTAGAGATAGTGCTGCTATGAACATTGTTGAACAGATGTCTTTGTTGTATGAATGTGCTTCTTATAGGTATATGCCTAGGAGTGGAATTGCTGGATCTTGTGGTCGACTCCTTCCCATTTTCTTGAGGAGTCGCCACGCTGATTTCCAAAGTGGCTGTACAAGTTGGCACTCCCACCAGTAGTGGAGGAGTGTTCCTCTTTAAGGAGCAAAGTCTTAAGGAGAACAAATACCTGAAAGATGCCGAAGGAAACATTAAAATAAAGTTGACAGAAATTGAAGAAAATCCAGACCTTAAGAATGGATTTGAGCTTTTTAAAGCTCCCCTGAGCCGGGGCTGGGCTCCTCTAATTGGGACTCCTAGTTGGGGCTGTTTCTGGTGTTGGCTGGGCTCCAAGAAGGCCATCACAGCCAGTGCCCCCTACTGCCCCATAGAGAAGGAACATGAGCGAGTCCAGTTCAAAGTCCAGCCAGCCTCTGACCTCTAAGCAGGAGAAGGACGGGACTGAGAAGCAACGCCGGGGTAGACTGCTCAAGCAGCCTCCTAAGGAGCCCAGTGAAGTGTCAACACCTAAGAGGCCTTGGGGCCGACCAAAGAAACTGGAGAAGGAGGAAGAGGAGGGCATCTCCCAGGAGTCCTCGGAGGAGGAGCAGTGACCATGCGCATTTCCGCCTGCTCCTTGGCCATCAAAGGAGCAGCTTTTCCTTGGGACTGGAAGCCCTGCTTCCAGGCCCCTCCCCACCCCCACTGCACACTACTGCACCAGGTGCAGGCTCTGCGGCACCCACGGGAGCAGGATTTGGCTCAGCCCAAGTACCCTCCCCAACACACCTGCCCTCTCCCGATAAGGCTAACTTCCCATTTAGCCCGCACTCCCTTAGAGACAGGGCTCTCTCTGGGCTCTTTGTTTTGCAGATCCCTTCTGCTCTGCTTTTCCTGGCTTCCTTGTAGAGGGAGGGTCCTGGGAGCATTCCCTGGCCTTAAAGGGCCCCAGCCCCATCTGACAAGCCCCATTGACTGACCTAGCAGGTGTGGTTAGTGCTGGGATGCTTAGATCCTAGCATGCCCGCCCCCACCAAACTCACCAGGTAGGTTTCTCAGCCACTTCTGCCCTACCTTACCTAGGTTGGCTAGAGCCCCTTGGGCTACAGGAAGTAGGGCATAATGGCTCCACCCACCATGTTCTCACCTGGGACCCAATGCAGAGACAGATGGGAATCACCCACCCATCTCCAGGGTGATGTTGAGGCAGATGGGGGCTAACTCACCTCTCCCACTCCGACTCTAGGCTGTTCCCCTTCCTCCAGAGGGGCACTAAGGAGATAGCCTTGCCCCCCCTCCTTTGGTTCTTCCCTGCCCCCACTCCCAAGGTTCTGGTTCATCTTTTCCTCTGTTCACAAACTACCTCTGGACAGTTGTATAGTGGGAAATTACCAATACGGAGTCAGGTAGAAATACAAGGGTATTTAATAGGGAAAAGCCTTACTTGCAGAGCGACATAGCCAGCCGGCGTGGCAGAAGTCTGTACACAAGACCAAAAGACAAATCCAGGTTTTTTTTTTGTTTGTTTTTTTTTTGTTTTTTTTCAATGTTCATTCTTAGACACCCACCATTGCTGCTGCTACCAGCGCCAAAAGTTCATCCTCCCTTTCTGCTTGCATTCTCCCCAAGACACTCTAGGGGAAAGGGGGCTGGGGCACAGCAGGCTGGTTACCAACCACCCCAGGGATGATGGGGCCTTGCCCCTTGGATGCTGCAGCAGAGTGAGGAAGTGGGTCCATTTTGATAGGAAAAGGGTGTAGGACCACCTCCTCCCCTTGTTCTGTGGGGGAGGGGTGGCCAGTATTTGTCCCGGCCTAGGGCTCCCCCTCTGGTTTCCTATTTGCAGTTCCTTGAATAAAAAAAGCCTTTTCTGGAAAAAAAAAAAAAGGAATGGATTTGAATAAGGAGATAAAAACCCTGATGAGGACTCAAGTTGAAATGAAGATGGAAGTGAAGAACCCAATAACTAAGGCAGAAAACTCAAAGGAAAACCTTGCAAGTAGAAAGAATCAACTAGAATATCAAAAACCAGGACCAAATAAGACAGAAATATGAAAAAACTCAGGAAAGAATACATAGAATATGGACTATCATGAAAAAACAAAACCTGTTAATTACAGGCATAGATGAGGGAGAAAGATCCTAAGTCAATTGCATAACTCAGGTACTCATCAAGATCATAGGAGAAAACTTCTCCAAACTAAAGAGAGACATACCCACATAAAGGCAAAAAGTACACAGAATATCAAATAAACAAGACCAGTAAAGGAAATCCCTACAGCATATCACAGTTAAAACACTAAGTATACATAGCAAAGAAAGTGTATTGAAAGCTACAAGAGAAAAAAAATGCAAACTACATACAAAGAAAAGTTTATCAGAATAATAGTTGAATTCTGAATGAAAAATCTGAAAGCTAAAAGAGTCTAGACAAATGCATTGTAACTCCTAAAAGACTACGATGGCTAGCCTACACTAATATATCCAGTAAAACTATTCTTAATAATTGACTGGAAGGGAAAATTTCCATAACATAAACAGTCTAAAAATTTTATATCAGAAAAACCAAATCTCAAGGAAATACAAGGATCAAAACTTAAAGAGTAATGAGAATAGCTGAGAAACTGGAAGAAATACAAAGGTATAATTATTAAAACACCAAATACCACTGAGAACCAAACAACTCCAAAAACCAACAACCTGATAACCACAACTAACACACATTTAGGGGTAGGGCCTGTGAGGAGCGGAAGTGCAGTGTGCTTGCAGGGTCTGATCCGGGTGGTGGTGGGCGGGCTTCGGTGGGTGTTATCCAGTGGGTGTTGTGTGCTGGCCCTGGGCTCGTGGCCATGAACCTGGAGCCTCTGCGGAAGTGTGTCCGGCAGGACCTGGACCAGAGAGGGAAGTAGCATGTGTGAACATCTGAGGGGCAGAAGATGGAGCTAGGAGATGTGAACACTCAGCTTCTTGCTCTGGCTGCCATGCCTGCCTTCTGCGTGCTCTTATGCTTGTTGTGTGCTGCTGCTATGCCTACCTAACCATACTGGACTCTCATCCCATGAGAACTGATAGAACCTCCAAGTGAACACCATTAGGCTACTTGGAAACTGCACTATTCTTAGAAGACTAGATGTCAGAATGCTTCAGACTTATGCTCTAGGAACCCAAGACACTGAGGAGCAATGAACTGATAAACATTCAAGGTACACAGATGGATTCAACTACTATAGACCCTTGAATTCCTGGCTTTATAGAAATCGAATCTATACTCACCTGGAAGCTTCTTCATTGCTGCTGTACATATTTCATCCTACTGGAAGATGCTGTGCATCCAGCCTACCAGACAAGAACAGCAATCATCACTCTTTTCCAGCCCTGAACCCTGTGAGCTACCATAACAGGTCTGGTAAGACTTGCCCACTTGCACAAAAGTGGCAAAAATATTGTGAGATTAACAGACCACTTTGTCATTAGATTTAAGGACCCCGCCACAAATTGCAATCATGGCTGGCACTGTTATCATGGCCAAAGACCTGTGGCTAGACAAGTCATAGACCCTAGTAGAGACTATTACTCTTACTCTGCTAAGTAGACAGAGTAGTAAACTGACTTTTGATCAACTATACCAGTACATTAGTACTTCTCTCAAACATGATCAGAGAAGCTTCTTTTTGCCTTTGGACATGGGTAACAAAGAGACTCAGCCCTAAATTAGACATTTATATCACACCCCCTCCTCCAAAGACTCAGGGATTTTTAAAAAAGAGGAAATGGAATAAAGGTAAGAGCCAGAGGCAACAGGTGGCTGTGAGGAAGCTGTTTCCCAGACACAGAAGTCTAGTTGCACATATGAAGTCATGCTAGTAGTTACAGCATATGTGAGACCTGTGGAAATTCAAGTCACACAAAATCCCAGCATAGAAGGAGGAGGTGGGCATGAAGTCACACCCTTAGCTGAGCAACTATTGGCAATTGATAGATGCTGAGACAGTTGGTTCTCCTTAAGGGTGTAGTCCTTGTTACAGAGAAAGGCTACACATCTTAAAATATAGGAGCAGCACCAGCTGTCCTTGATGGGTGCTTGGGAAAAAGGAAGAAAACAAGTTGGATGGGTAAGGGAGGATTTAGGGGAGGGGTAAATAATACCGAAATATATCAAATGCAATTCTCCCAGAACTAATAAAAATAGAAGAAAAATAAAATAAAATAACGAACACACATTTAAATAACTTTAAATATTGCCAGTAGTCAGTAGTCAGTGTTCTAGTGCTGTGAAGAGACACCACAACCAAGGCAATTTTATAAAAGAGAGCCTTTAATTTGGGAGACTGCTTAGAGTAGTCCATGGCCATCATGGCAGGAAGCAGACAAACAAGACACAGAGGCAGTATCTGAGAGATTTACATCCTGGTCTGTAGGCAGCAGGCAGAGAAGGGACAGAGGGAGGGAGGGAGGAAGGGGGAAAAAGGGGAAGAAAGAGAGAGAGAGAGAGAGAGAGAGAGAGAGAGAGAGAAACTGGGCATTGTATTGGCATTTGAAATCTGAAAGCCCACTACCAGCCAGCCATATACCTCCTCCAACAAGGCCATACCTCCTAATCCTTCTCAAACAGTTCCACTCCACTCCTTGGTGACTAAACATTCAAATATATGAGCCTATGGGGACAGTTCTCATTTAAACCTCACAAATATCAATGGCTTCAATTCTCTAACCAAAAGACAGACTGACCGAATGGATCAAGAAACAAAAATCCATTAATCTGTTGCTTGCAAGAAATGCACCTTTATTTTAAGGATAGGCATAACTTTAGAGTAAAAGGGTAGACGAAAGTAATCTGATCAAATGGGACCTGGATGCAAGTAGGTTTTGCTACCCTGGAATCTGACAAAACAGACTTCAAACTAAAACTAATCAGAAGAGATAAAGGACACTTCACATAATCAAGAGAACAGTTAACCAAGAAAACATTGGTATCCTAAATGTATGTGCATCAACCTCTGGGGCTCCCAATTTCATAAAAATTACATTACTGATTTAAAGACATAGATTAACATCAGTCCACCAATAAAAAGTGATTTCAGTGTCCCACTTTCTCTAATGGACAAAAAAATGAATAAAGAAATATCAGAACTAATTGACATCATACATCAACTGGACTTAACAGATATCTATAGGATATTCCACACAAGCAACAAAGAAAATACTCAGCAGTACACAAAAGCTTTTCTAAAATAGACCACACCTGGGACACAAAACAAATCTTTAGGTATTAAAAAAGATTTAAATCACTCTTTGTATCCTATCTGACCACAATAAAACTTAAACTTGAAAGCAAAAACAACCTTTAATAAATATAGAAAGTAATGGAAATTAAACAGCTTATCACTGAGTAATGGGCAGATCAAAGAAGAAATCAAGAAAGAAAGAAAATCTTCCTGTAAGTAAATTAAAATAAAAACAACACAACAAAACTCTGGTTCACATTGAAAACAGTCCTACAAAGGAAATTCATTAGCTCCCAGTGTATACATTAAAAATTTAGAAAGAGCACAAACACAATTTGGAAAGACAAACCAAATGTTAATCCAGTTGCAGCAACAAATCAGTGAAATAGAAATAAAGAAAACAATACAAAAATTAATAAATCTAAAACATGGTTCTTTGAGAT